TGGCCAAATCGTCTCGCCCTTTATAAGGCAATGACTCTATCTTACCAATTTGTAAGATGAATTCAATTTCCTTTTATATCTGAAATTAACAAACACTTAACTGCTTGTTTTCAGTGGAATATCCTTCCGGAGCTTTTTCATCGCATGCGGTGAATGGACGTCGTGATGAGTATTATTCCACATCTGATGACTTTTCGCCCATTCCGTTCACCTCCCAGTTTGCTCCGGGCACGTCGTTGGAAGTTGTCCAAGTGGTGAGGGAAGGTGGCCATCAAGCTCTTCGCCAGCTGATCACAGATGCGCCTCTCGTGCAGGATGCCAGTTCCGTTCAGTCTCTTAGGAAGACTGACTTCTTGTTTGGAGACTCTACCAGGGATCCCGATGCAGTATTTATTGAGGCTGAGCAGTGGCTTTACCAGACTGGCAGTCGTTATATGTATTTGCCGAAGATTCCTCGACACCGTTCTTTGACTGAGCTCAGGCGCCAAGCTGTGAAGCGGGAGATGTCGTGGAGTTTGACAAAGGAACATGAGAGCGTTCACTGCGGCTATATTACTCATCAGGCAGTTCCTGGTTCGAGTCGAGATCACATTGTTGGACTACATCCTGGAGTACTGGGGCTAGATACTCCGCCTCGTAACGAGTTCCTCGCCACTGCTTCTACTTTGAGGAATCGCCTCGCTATCTTAGGACGGGAGATGCCTGCACCGCGCCACAGATTCTATGGTTGGGTCCATTCTTTGGACAGGTTTTGGTGGGCTCGTATGACGAAGTATGTCTTGAGCCGATGGAGCGAGGAGTTACATGCTTGCGGCCTTTATGCAGCCATTCGGGCCACCATGCATGGCTTGCCTACAAGCGCGAAGCATTTCTTTGCCCTATGCGAGCTTTATAATCCAGATTCCAACACTTTTCTGACCAGGCACGGAGAGTTGGGCTTGGCTCTACATGAGATGCACAAGATTTCTGGTTTGCCCATGGGACAGATGTTATACCAGGAGTACTTTCCCTCCAACCATGAGTTGAGTCAGCTGAAGGATCGCATGCCCGACCGCTACGAGACCTTATGGGACCTCACTTGTCATTATCACATTGCTTTGGCGCAGTCTAAGCCCCTAGCGAAGAGGACCAAAGCAAATGTGAGCCTGAAGCAGTTCGCATCATACTTGTTCAGGAATCTGGAGAGCCATTCTGGCCAATCTATTTGTGAACTGGCACCGCTGACTCCTTCAGAGGTTAATGAGCTGCTGAAGAAGACTAACGCCCAATCCTATACCATTAGCAGTCCTGAGAGTGGCTTTCCTGCAGGGACTAAATTCAGATCGTTCTTATATCATGCGACCGCACCGATTCGTCCGATGACTCTCCTTGCCGGTTATCTCGCCATCTGGTTGAAGAAATGTGTGGTCCCGTATCAGTCTGGTGACGCTCTGCCACTGGAAGTGCTCTATCCTGCAGTTCAGCTTGCCTACAAGAAGGAACTTTCGCTTCTTCCGGTGATGGTTGCTAACATTCATCGAGGGCTTCGGCAGATTTCTGGTGCTTTTACACGGAGAGATGATGATAAACCGACTCAGATTCCTACCATTAAGGTGGAGCTTCCGTATGTTTATTTGATGGCTTGGTTCGTCCTTCATCGTTCTGACATGATGTCGGTACCGCATGCCATGGACCACTCTGTTCCCTTACTACAGCTGCTTGAGAATGGCGAGTGGGAAGGCCGAGGATTCTCTGATATCAGGAGGCAGCTACAGGTCCACAAGTGCTGGGCATTCTCCACTTGCTTTCCGCAGTTCTCCAGCCGGTATGGCGAGTGTTTGATTGATGAGGAGAAGCCGAGGGAGTATAGGACTTATCTGGATATGGGCTGCTTTAATTGGCTAGTGAACATTAGGCCGGGTTATCGCACTTATTTAGATATCGGCTGCTTTAATTGGCTAGTGAACATCAGGCCGGGCTACCTGACTTTCCGGGTGGGGAATCAGTGTTTTATAGAGCCATATCTACCCTGCCGATTCGCTCGCCAGTTCGGTTATGATCAGCTTTATATCGGGAACCCGCGTCAGTAGCTTCGGGCCCATGGAGGTTTGGTGGACGGTCTTCGTGCATGGTTGTGGACCGTGACAGGCTGCACTGGTGCTAGGTTCAGTCTCCCGGGTGCTGAGCGACAGTTGAACCTCACTTTCTTGAGCTGTAGGTGGTTGTTAGCAGCTAATAAGACTGTCCCTGTGAAGCCTATTGAAGAGTTGGTGGTCGAAGAAGCCTCTCAGATTGATTCTCATGTGATCCGGGACGGTGCTCGGTCACAGAGGGCGCGGGGCATGACCCGCCGACTTGATGCAGAAGGTCATAGGGCCTTTAGTTCTGCTGGAGAGGCTTCAGGCGGAGATCCTGAAGACTACGAGGCAGATTTCGAGTGAGGTTAGTCACCCATCTTTTCTTTCCGCATTTCCGAATTGCCAGTCCTGACCACTATCTGATATTTCAGGGACAGTGAAAAACAGTGAAGAGGAGTTCCGTCCTTTTGCCCGGGCAAGACCTTCGACTACTGTCCGTGCTGATAGGCG